CTCGTCCATTCCGTGGCCCATGTCGTGCATCCCCATATTGTCACCTATACCCGAGGACTCCAGGGCGTGCGCGTGCGAGGCCAGCAGCTCCGGACGGCGGAACCCTTCCCTCCTCATCCCCGACGATCCTCCCTCTAGGCCCAAGATCTGACTCGCCAGTCCGCTCCTCCCGAGCCCGTCCTGGCCTTGCCGGCTGGGCCACGGCTGCTGCTGGTTCGATGAGGGCGACTGGTGTATGGAGTTGATGTTGAACGGGTCGCCGAGGTGCGAGTAAGGGTCGCTGGACTGAGGGTAGGAGATGGGCTGGTACGGTGGAGGGAAGTAGGGAGGCTGGAAGTCCGAGCCAGCCGAGTGAGAGAGGGCCGGAGACGGGCTGTACAGGTGCTGGCTGACCGCTGGCAGAGGGGGTAGCCGGGGATTGCCATTGCTGTTGCCGTCATGTCTTTCCTGAGGGACGGAGGAGATAAGGCAGCTGAGAGACATGCCGAACAGATGGCAGGTGTTCTGGTGACAGTTGTCGCTTCAGAGAATTTAGGTGTCAGGTAAACGCAAGTGAATAAAAACAAATGATTGGATGACAGAAATTAGAGATTTTAATTAAAAAAATCGAAAGCAGAACTTTAAACATATAAAAATTATAATAATTAAAGTTATTATTATTGTTATTATTATTATTATTATTATTATTATTATTATTATCATCATGACTTTTTTCAAAAATATTTACACACTTTAATTCATCTCTTTTTTGCAGCTCAGCATGTCTATTCTTTTTTATGCTAAAAACTTTTTACGTGACCTAATGGTGTTGTCTTTCCCTTTTTGTGATTTGCAGACTTTCCTGAAATCCTGTTTAGATTCTCTTCTTGTAAACCATTGTCACTTCAAATCTAACTTTTTTTTTTTTTTTTTTTTTTTTTACTTTTTTGTCCTTCCTGCATTTGAACCACTTACCTCACAGTCATCTTCATATTTCACGTTGTCGGCTAATTTCCACAACATTGTTGATTGGCTTTCTCCGTTGCAAAACTGAGCAAAAGAATAAAAGAATAAAAAACAACAAAGGAGAAGAAGCGTAGCCTTGAGTTAATCCAGGTGCGCACAAATGGAGATCGTGAAGTCGCTTGTTCTCCAGCTGGAGCGCGTAAAAAGTTTTGAGGTGAGAGCTCAGCGGCAACGTGACCGAGTGACTGACGAGCGGACAGCGCACAGGCTGGCCCGTGAGTTTCCACGGACTCTCGGAGGAAAAAAGTGTCGTTGTCCAGCAAATATTCCCCCTCTCTCTCTCTCTCTCTCTCTCTCTCTCTCTCTCTCTCTCTCTCTCTCTCTCTCTCTCTCCAGTCAGCGCGCGCCGGAGTTGTGTTGAAAGTGGGCAAAACTGCTGCATAAGAATCTTCACTCCCTCTTATGAACAAAACAGCGAGGTTCAATCCTATTGGTCCAGAGATAAGAATGAACTCTGTTATATATCTCCACAGCCTGTCGGAGTGGGCGTTACCTATAGCCGAAAGATGCCAATGGCGGCGAAAAATAGAACGCAGCCGCTGATTGGCGGGGCAGCGGTCCAACTAGAATCCCGTCCGTCTGCGCGGAGGTTTAGTGCGACGTAAGGAAAAGAAGCACTTTGTGTGCACTAAAGTTGGCCTCTTTAACCTTTCACAACCTAATTTGTTTGGGACTTTGACTCTGTGGGTTCATTTAGGAACTTTCCCAAATTATAATTTATTATTTTTTTAAGAAAGCTAAAATCTCAGAAATTATTTTGTGTCGCTTGATCATTGACTAATATGCAATGAAATATTTCCAATAGAGGCATTCCAACTGTTGTCTGTTAGAAAATGAACTGCAGCATTTTAATTTCAGCAAATGTTTACTATAAACGAGCTTTAGTTAAGTATTTATTGGCCTACTGTATATTTTCGTTTTTATACATTTACGCTTAATTTTTGAATCATGGTTGGTTCAATGTATTATTATTATTATTACTATTAATATTATTATTATTATTATTATTATTATTATTATTATTATTATTGTGTGGAACATCTTAATAGTAAGTTTTTTTAATTGATTTTGTTTCTTATTTTATTTTAGTCTTTTATTTTTTATTTGTTCTATTTTTTACCTATTTTGTTTCATTAATTGTTTTTAATGTATTGTTGTTATATATATATATATATATATATATATATATATATATATATATATATATATCTGGACCTAAGAGTCTGTCAATAAAGAGTATCTATCTATCTATCTATCTATCTATCTATCTATCTATCTATCTATCTATCTATCTATCTATCTATCTATCTATCTATCTATCTATCTATTATTTTATGTAGGCTACACAATTTCAGCTGATTAAATAGACCTACTGACTCATTTTACTACTTTCAGATTTAAATAAACAAATAAATCTATTTTGAATTTCTTTTTCTGGAGACAATGTGTTTGTAGTTCGAAACCGAACAGGAGCTCGAAAAAAGGCCGGTGTCATTTCAACATCAGTGGTCGTTAAGTGGTCGTTTCAAACCGCAACAAGCCCGAGGGCTGAGCAGCTTCAGTCATAAGAACTTTTAAAAGCTCCAAGAATCTCAACAAACAAGCTTTTGTAACTTCATTTACATCAGAGAGGAGCTTTATCATTCATAAACAAAATTATTGAGACATTTTGATGTTGTTGAGATGCAAAAAAAAGAACAACGTTTTTTGTGTGATGGCAACACACATTCCATTGTTTTATTGCGTTTTATATTGATTGTTTATAGGCTCAAAATTTAGATGTTTATGACGCCCCTGCAGCCTCTGATGGCCATAGGACGTGGATCAAAGGGGTTATCTTTTATTTTCCTGCTCCTTGATTTGTGATGCCAAGCAGAAGCGAAATGCGCGATGATTACAGATCCTCCTGCGCTGAAACAAACACTGAGCAGGGCCTGAATAAGTGCATTTAGTCACGTCTGGCCTTAATCTTCTGAACGATCCTTAACCCACTCATCTGATGTCAGGGGAAGAAATCATAAAAAGTCACACGAGTTAAAAGTTCAGCAACGTGAAGCTGGTCTGGGACTAAATTATACTGAGAATTTAAAATGAACGAACGTTGTGATTAAAAAAAGACCAATTTAGACGCGGCGCAGAAAATAAATAAGAAAATGTCACATTCTAGAACATAAATGCGTTAATAACTAGGCCAATGAAAGGAAAAAATCAAATAAATGTCTGATTCTGACGTAAAAAGCTCATTTACAGCCATTTTCTTGACAATAAAAGCTTTAGTCTGGCTAATCCCAAGGTTTTACTCTCTTAAACACGTAAATAATCCATAAAATAAACACCAGCTCACCCTCCAGTCTATCCTCTCCAGCACAGACATCTGCAAGGCTCCACCAAGACGCAGCGAATGACTCAATCCGCGGGGAGTCTATTGTAGGATTTACCTGGTCGTCCTAAAACGCGCATGCGCGACTCTATAACACCTTGAATGGAAAACAAACGAGCAATTACGTCTTTTTTAAATCTAAAATTAACGTTTGTTTAGTTTTGTTTGTGCGCATGAACTCTGACTTAATTTAATCTGAAAAATATTATAGTAATCTGCCTAATAAAAAGATTGTTTTAATAGTTGACTAACTCAACTGAATGAGCTGAACGGACCAAAGTTTTTAACAAGAAGTTTAAATAAATACATCTGAAATCAGTGAAATAAAAAAGTAAAATGGGTTGTTATTTTATTTTATTTTTTTCAGATGAGGTCATTTTTACCCCCACCCCCACCCCCACCCCTATGAAACGGCCTCAGGCTGACCTGCTCTGAAAAGCAAGAAGCTTTTTAAGGTGGAGATTGCATCCTGTTATCTGATATCTCCGAAACGTTTTAGAATGAACTGCTTTTGGAAATGAGTTAGAATAAAAAAATTAAAAAAAACAAGAATCTTACATTTTATTTCTGACACCGTCCACGAAATAAATAATAATGAATATTATGATGTTTATATCAGAGAACTAAGGCTGCACAGGTAAGAAGTCAAACCAAATGTCTGACAAAGTCAGATTTAACTTGTAAACATGATTAAATAAACCCCGTTTATCTGCGTTTATGAGTTAATTTAAATTAAAATCAGGGCCTAATAGAAAAACAGCAGCTGTAGTTTATATGTATTTGCACTTGTTGAGAAGACCTTGCAACATTACCAGGTTTGGGTTTAAAACATATACTTCCATTTGTGGTATTTAATTCTGTCCTTGATCAATCTAAACCGATTTTTGTTGTTTTTATTGTTTTATTCAACTAATCCACACGTTTCAACCAAATCCACATGAATGCAGGTCAATTTATTCATTTAATTTTGTTCACAACTCAGAGAACAAATTAAGTCGATACAATTTTTGTAAGATTATTTTTGCTTTAGATTAGTTTACAGTTAAATAATGCCCGTACAGATGAATGATGTGGAGTCCCGTATTACTCTTTAAACCACCTTGTTAAATAAGCAGCACGTGTTTGTTGGTGGGATATTCGTTACTTAAACGGGTTAAGGAAACATGATGTTAAATAAATGACTCATTTCAAACGGGTGCGATGAAAACATGCATCTGCTGCAACCTTGTGGTGATATTGTCTTACTACATCTCTGCTACGTCTGTCAAAAACAAACCACGGTAAAGTGTTTTCTTTTTTATTTGCAGGATGGGCTTAATTCCCCCCATTTCATTGACTGTGCATTGTGATGAAGATGAAAATGATGACGATGTTGCCAGCAGAAGGCCACCTGGCCAACCCAGGAGGCAATACTTCTTTGGCAGGTCTAGGAATACCTTAGGGTCCAGCTGGAGGACCTGGCAGAAGACAGGGACAGTCAGGGCTTCACCGTGAAGCCTTCACTGCTGGGTCTTCTGCCCCCATCTATCCCAGACACACAGATGATGATGATGATAATGAAGGTACAAGATAGAGAAAAGTTAAATCCCAAAAAAAATTGCCTTCTCGCTCAGTTCCATCCCGTTTCTGTGTCAATTGACAATCGAATGTAATAACAGATTTATGTTCCTGCTGGGCATCACACTATTGACTTGTGCAGCCAGCTCATATTTATTTTGTTGATATGAAAAAGGTTTTAATAAAAGTTTAAAAGTTCCTTAACCCCTCGTTTATTCATTTAGGAACTCCAAAATGATGCAGTAAACAAATCTCTGCTGAATCACTATTTGGCCACGCCCATCTACTTTGTGTACCATCACAATTAGGGGGGGTCACAGACCCCAGGTTGGGAACGACTGGTCTAACTTCATCCCCCAGATCCACTACTCCTATCACACTCTAATCTAGAACACAGAGGTCAAACCAGCTGACCTGAAGACATTAGATCCAAACTAAAGAGCAGATATGTTACAGCATTTGTTGTTGATTGGTTGATTGCAACGTTTATTTGAACATAAGACAAAATATTTTTTTTTAAATCAATGAACATAGTAGAAAAGATATACCAATAAAAAAGAAGTCTTTGTCCAAAGGGAGTAAGAAGAGGCAAGTACTTATTCAATCCCACCCCCTTGTCTCACATTACTAATTTACTTTACAAGTTACCATCTATACCTACATACATACATATATACATACATACATGCATATATATGCAGCTACTAATGAGAGCATTTGCATTAACATTTTATGGTACTAGTGATGTAATAATAATAATAATAACAATGACAATAATAACATGAACAACAGCAAAATAATAATGACAATATCATAGTTTCCATAACCTCAGAGAACCTAATTTTCATATCCATTATCATTTTTTTACACAGTGATTTAAATTTGTTTATATTTGGACACTGTGTATTTCCTGCAGCCCATTCCACAGTTTCACACCACATATCCCCCCTCTCAACCATCCACTCCTTTGTTCCCTCCTCTCCATGATTGATGTCAAGTTGTTGTTATTGTTAGCCTCAAGGGCAACATGCTGATTTTCACTTGTAAGTCGCTTTGGACAAAAGTGTCTGCTAAATACATAAACATAAACATACTGATACACAGAAACCCCTTTTAGTGGTTCTTACCCTAGGCATTTTAAAATGTTTATTCTTTCGTAAATGATATCCCTCATCACTCTGGTTGAAGTTTTAAGGTTCAGACAGATCAGGTTAACGGTTTAAACATGATTTGAGCTGTTTGATATTGAACCAGGTCTTGAAGTTTAATGTATTTTGACTGTAAAAACAAAGAATTTGTATGATCCAGATACCCATCTTTATGAATGACACGTATTACCCTCTTTTGCAATACTGAGAGTGTAGAGCTTTTTTATAATTGTTTCCCCAAAGCTCTATACAGTAATTGTGAATTGGCAGAACTAACGAGCAATACAGAATATGGAGTGATTTACAGTCCAACAGTTGCTTCATTTTATTTATAATCGCAATGTTTTTTGCTGCTTTGGTTTTTATGTGTCTAATGTGGGGCTACCAACTGAGTTTATTATCCAAAAATTTGATTTCATAAACATTCTCAAATTTTCCATCGTCAATCTTTATACATACTTCTGTTTTGTTTTTACAATTGCCAAACATCATTAACTTTGTTTTTCCTATATTCAATGATAATTTATCATTATTCATCCTTTTTTTAGTTTACTTAATTATTTATTAATAATATTATTTCATTGAGATCATTTCCAGCGAAGAACAAATTTGTATCATCAGCAAATAAGATCATCTTCAGAGTTTTGCAGACTAGAACATTGACATTTATGTATATATTAAATAGAGCAGGTCCTAATACTGACCCCTGGGGAACACCACAGGCAATCCCCATACTTTCAGAAGTGACATCATCCATTTTCACAAATTGTTGTCTCTTAGATAAATAATTGGTGATCCAGTCCAGTGCTATTCCCCGAATGCCGTACTATTGAAGGTTGTTTATGAGAATTGAGTGATTTATTGTATCAAAAGCTTTCCTAAAATCTATAAATACTCCAATAGCATATTTACCTTTATCTAGTGTATTAATTATTTCATCGGTTGCTTCCATTATTGCAAATGCTGTTGCCCTCTTTTCTCTGAATCCATACCGACTATGGTTTAGTATCTCGTGTTTATTTAAGAAAGTTTTCTAGTCTATTAGTTTTTCCAGGATTTTTGAAAATTGAGGAAGAAGTGATACTGACCTGTAGTTGTTAAATAGATGTTTATTCCCTTGCTTAAAAATTGGTATTACTTTAGCTACTTTCATTTTCTGAGGAAATAAACCAGTTTGGAAGGATAAGTTAAAGGTTTTAGAATACCATCAATAACTCTTTTAACCAACACCATATCAATACCGTCAAAATAGTGGAGACTTTGTTGTTACATTTATCAAGAACTGATTTAACTTCCAACTCATCCACTGCTGAGAGGAAGATTGAGTCGGGGTATAGTTTGTTTTTATCAATGGTTCACTTATTGTCTGTCTTTTTTGGCTTGGTATATTTGCTGCTAGCTCTGGGCCTACATTCACAAAATATTCATTCATTCTATTAACTACTTTTATTTTATCAAAAATATCACTTTGATCATCAGTGAACTATTCAGGGTATAGTATTTTCTTTGTCCCACCACTCCTTAATTTGTTTAGTATATCCCAGACACCTTTTAAGTTATTATTTTCATTTAGGATTTTTCTGTAATATATATTTTTACTAGTTCTTGTTATTTCAGTTAATTTATTTTTGTAATCTTTATATCTGATTTCAGCTTCCTTAGTTCGTAGTTTAATAAAATTCCTATAAAGACTATTTTTCTTTTTACAAGCATTTTGTAATCCTTTAGTTAGCCATACAGAAATAAGTTAAATAATTAAAAAAGGAATAATGACAAGCTGTTAAACATTTGAGCTGCTTAATCTGTGGAATAATCTTCCACATGTCAGTTCAGCAAAGGGCCCAATCCCACTCCTACTCATGATCACAGCTTGGTAACTGGATTTTGTTCAGTGTTTTTAATCTGCTTTACAATATTTGTAACTTACTCAGTCTATTACATTTCACCAACATGTTTGCCTTTCTTTGTCACCTTCTATTTCTGAACATTTCTAACATTTCAAATGACTCCAGGAACCCTTTGAATGCACAGTGGACATAATGTCTGCCACTTAGAAAAAACACGAGCCAAAGGAGCTTTAGTTGGTTTAATTACATGGATTCTCTCATGAAAGAAACAACATGTTGTTGTCATTGCAGGTAGCTCTGCTTTGCATCTGTGACCTAAGTCAGTGGCTCAGAGGACGCACTGTGTATTCGACAAAACCAGGAAATGACTGAAAGACAAAGGCAACTGAATAAAATCGTATTATTTGTCACATGCAACAGTCAGCTAAATTGCAAACAGCAACAACAAAATGTACTAAATCACGCACAGAAGAAGCTGGTGCCCGGAGAAGAACGTATACTGTGTAACAGATTGTTACTTTTCACATCAAACAATTTTCCACAAAAGGCCCAGAGACACAAATAGACAGAGACCCATTGTTTGAGAGAAAAAGAAAATACCGAAGCCTGTGATGCTCAAAATTGAATACAGTCTGAGTTAAAAGGACATTTGGCGTCCTCCCGTCACATAAAAGCTCCTTTTCTTTGCTGTGTGCTCATTTGTTTATTTTTTGCAATACTAGAAGTTTTTATATTCTTGAGGTTACTTTTGGCTCTTCCTTTTAGAAAGGACGCAAAGAACAGCCAAAAGTTAAACAAGCTTTATAAAAAGAAGAAAAAAGAGCAAAATGTTTTAACATATCAAAGATATATTAAGAGAAACCTTTATTAGTTCACTCATGAACATTGATTATAATCCAACAGGGATTGCTACTCACACATTTAGCCTTGTCCTCTAGTTAAATGAAGAGTAAAACTTTAAACCTAGAAAGGAGTAACCGTGGACACTAGGGGGCAGCAGAGCAGAGATGATAAATCTCAGCATCAGTAATAAAGTCTCACTGACAACAGCTGCAGAGGTGTGTGTGTGTGTGTGTGTGTGTGTGGGTGGGGGGGGGGGGGGGGGGGGTTACACGGGGGTAACAAAACAGAGTCAGCTGTTTAGGGAGCTAAATGTTCACAGCATGTAAACACCGAGCTACTGGAGGCTGGACAACAGGGAACGAGTCCACAAACTGGTGACTTTTGCAGTGGTTACATTTTCTGAAGCCATCTAAAAAAAAAGAACAGCTGCTAGAAGTGATAAGGGGTGTGGGTGACCCAGTTGGATATCTGGTCTTTGGAGCGTTTGGCTGAGCTGTGTGTGGTGAACAGGGATTTAAAGACTTCAGACTTCCCCTGCATGTCCTGGATGGACCTCTTGGTAGCAGAGACTGTGGAGGCATTGGTGTCTTGAGAGGAGCCAGATGGTCCAGCCACAGCTGGGTGAGAAAAATACAAGACAGAAAGAGCAACACAATGAATGTCAGAGATCAAACTATGATTTTCAAAGTTTTGAAACAGGACAAAGATTCAAATTGTTGGTGAAGGCATCATCCAGGTCATGGTAATCCAAAAAGGTTCAAATGAAAGAAACTGGACTTCTTTGGTTTCTTGAAGATGTTTCGCTTCTCATCAGAGGAGCTTTGTCAATTATTTTTAACAGAAGCTAATGCAGGAAATAGTGGTAGAAGGCTATGTCTACGTTCAGCTAGCATGAAGAACTCAGAGTAACGGATCATTTTCTAAATAAGTAAAAAATGCTCTTTAAAAAGTATGAAACTTGACTATTTTGTGGTAATTTATCAAAGATATAAACCAAGAGACATTTAGAGATCAATTAAACCAAGTTTAAAAGAAAAAGTTTAACACCATCACTGCAACTACATTTCAAACTTCCCACTGTTTAACTAATGGAGTGGCAAGATGGCACCACTCCCAAACTTGATTTCTGAGAACTAAACATGTTTATCTACCTGACTGGCTGCATTCGCCTCCATTCTGCAGAGACTTCCCAGCTCCACCTGCTGGTGAAGACTGAGCATCTTCTGTGGGGGGGTCAAACAAATCGGTTCAAATACAGAGATTATCATTTAGTCAGGCTTTTTTCAAAGACTAGTGCATCCCAATTTAGCAGGGAGAAGCCACAATAGGGATATAAGTGAATTTACAGAAATATAAATATCATTTTCTCAAAATTACTTGCTTTAAAATGTTTCTATTTATGTAGAAACACATGTAAACACCAACTGGTCTTACAGCTTGGACTTGTTTCGCAGTTGAAATGGTAAATGGCCTGAACATGTATAGTGCTTAATCAAGTCCAATGACTCCAGAGTGCTTTACATTATAATCCTTCATTTGGTGAGGTTGATGAGCTACACTGTAGCTAGAACTGCCCCGAGGCACCTTCTCACTACCACCAGCAGGCAAGAAGGGTGAGTACCTTTCCAAAGGACACACTAGTTGACATGAACAGAGCCTGAGTTTGAACTAGCAACCCACCGGTTACAGCCCAAACTTCTAACTCATAAGCCACCATTGTCCACCAGCTACTCTACTATGATAAATCCAATATTTCACAAAAGCTGTAGTATTCTGATTGAGAGTTACCCCGGTTTTCCACCAGATGAGTAAGCAGCGCGTAATGTAACAGGTGTGTTTTCACTGCAACCTCACCCCCTTCCTACCGATAGTGTTTAAGAAGTGAAGCACCTGGAAACGTTTCATGCAGCTGGTCCTGCGAGATCACAGATTCACAGGTTAATTGCAAGATCGAGCATGATTTTGCCAGCTCATGTGATACCACGTAAGGAAAAGATGGCAGCATGTATCCAAAAGGTCTTTGGTTCTTTTTACCTCCACCAAGGACGTTCTGTTATTGCTGGCATATTTTTGTTTATAATTAAGCCGTGGGAAATCACTTGACATGTTATAGAAGCATAGAGCATAGAAAATAGACCTGGCACAAATTCATCAGAAAGCTGCGACATTACTCCTCTGGGACATGTCTGAGGTGCACCGCCTCACACCCACCCGGTGTAAAGAAAAGTCTTAACAATAATGCCTTGTGTGCCGTGTATTGGACATCGCTAACGTTACGCTCCGTTTACACATCTGATGAAAAGCCAGGGTTACAAAAGTCGTTCGGTTGTTTCAAACACTAGTGCAACAACAGTTTAGTCATCATTTTTGTTCAGAAGAACTTTGGTTTTCACTAGTTGACTTTTATTTTATCATTTTAACTTAGTTATTTAATAGATGATTATGAGATTTTCTTTCTGTAACGGAAGAGTACCAACTAGGGGTGTGCCGGTTTAAAAGCTATTTGTTTTTCATGAATCGCTCCAGAAGTGTCTGTCCTTCACAGGCCCACGTGAACAATCTAGTGATCTAAGGTTCAAATCTAAAGGCCAGCAGCTCTGGAGCTCTGCATCGCTCCAGTTTGCTGTCTCAGATGATTTTGTTTACAAAATGGACTCCCCGTGTTTACTTTGTTTATTTTGTAAGTATGAAAAAAGCTATGACATCAGAATAAAATGCATAAAAAATAATGGTCATTATGATAATCGTTAAATAATTAAATCATAGGACTCTGAATTGAAATCAGATCATGAGGTACCTAAAATGACACACCCATTCTACCAACAGTTTAGGCTCCTTGTGACTCAATTCAGTTATACTTATGATTAAGAGGGTTGTGATGAGATAAGAAAACTGTTTTCAAACCTTTAAAAAGGTGTGATTATCAATGAAATATATCATTTTATAAGTTTTAGTTTCTAGCCTAAACTAGTTACATGATCATCTCTGCCAGCCTTGAAGTCATGGCTAAGCTGCAAACCCACAGAGTATTCAAAGCATTATTCAAATCGAGGACATTTCATGGTTTTTATTCAGCTGCATAATTTTGCTTATGTCAGCTCTAAAACCACTTGTCATTATTATGCCTCTGCAGGATTTAAGACCAACCTATTGACTCTGCTGGTGTGGACACAGTTTCAACTGCCTTGCTCTTCTTGGATTTCTAAAAAAAAAAAGAAAAAAAAAAGAAGAAGAAATGAAACATTCTTGTTACAAAACACTACATATATGCCACAAACCCTTATAAATGTAAAATCATCATTTCGTAGTTTGTTGAGCCAACCTTAGTTTTAGTCTTGGCTCGCCTCTCCTCCATCTTCTCTCTCAGCTTATCAATCTCTTCCTTTGTGCCATTGAGCACAACAACGTCGTCTTCTTTGAAAGGATCTCCACACTGCAATAAGAAAATAGGATTCTATGTGAAAACAGAAAAGCAGTGAGGGAAAGGCTCTTAAAAGAAAAATGATACCAATTAACATGTCGAAATTACTAGTTCAAGCTTAGTTTTCATCATAATCATCTATCTGGCATACTTACATGCAGGGAACAAAACTCCAAAATAGCAACATATCAATGGGGAAAAAGTTGTTTCCACCCAGTAAAACAAACTTGAGCATTTGAAGATAAGAAAAAGTATAATCGGGTAATGAAGGCATTTAAGGAGACTCTAGCAGGGAAGTAAGAAAATATCTATAAGCCAGAATATTACGATATTTATTCCTGCAATATTATATTGACATTCAAAAGCAGTGTATCAAATTTTTGGAAGAATTTACATGAAAACATTTGTGTATTTTCTTTACTTTGGTGTAATTCAACAACGACTAGTTGGCAGCAGTGTGTACCGGGTTTTGTTTCCACCACTAAAATGTAAATCCATCATGGTTCAGAAACCTCGTGTTAAACATGTTACGCATCAGTTTGGACTGTTTCTTAAATTTTTCTACAATAATTTAAGTCTAAACAATTGCTAATATCATCTGGCTGAATGTATCACAATATATTGTGATATATCATATCGTCTCTCCTCATATCGTGATACGTATCATATCGTCTTCCCTCTATAGTGATCTTCCCTTTATCGTGATACATATCACATCATCTTCCGGGCAATAAATCGAAAATTTATCATTGTCGAAATTTCTGACTCTTATCGAGATAATTTTCCCCATGCCAATAAATTTGATAAATAAAAAATGAAAAGATGTGTGTAAGCTGGCAACGTTCGTATCCATTTATAAAGCTGTACCATCTTGAGTCACGTAAAAATGTAACTCAACGTAATACGTGTGACAGCCCCATCTAATGGACAACTTTTGTTTCTGCGCATACCTGTAGTTATCATCCATTTATCGTTATCGAGGTGAAATCCTCAATATATTGTGATATTAATTTTAGGCCATATCGCCCAGCCCTACTCTATCGTGATACATATCGTAACAAAATCCGCTTCAGTCGCCATGTTCATGACAAACTCTGCGTTATGGTGTGTGACATACGATACTCAGCGCTGATTGGCTCGGTTAGAATTCTCACAGGGTGGGGTTATTTGAATACGAGAGTTCCCAGACCATTTCTCTGTGCAGAATTAAACAGAGGAGGAGTCTGGCAGGCCAGGCTAGAAGGACGGAGGAGGTAGGCTACATTGTTTGGCTTTGATGAGAAAAGTTGTAAAACTTCTGTAGTTTTTACTTTTACATCATCTCTAAAATATGTTCCGACCAAGCCCCCACAATGCGGCTCAGAAATTGGTCTCAACCCGGAAGTACCAAACATTGCAGTTCCACCCTCATCCGCTGGGGGCTGGTGTCAGAAGCGAGCAAATCCTCATTGACTCCCATGTTAAAAATACCAATTTCACAGCAGAAATAAACATGTTTACAGCCTGGTACCAAAACATGTTTTTGGTTTAAATTATCTAGTTTACACTCATGACAACTCTGAGGGGGGTGAATTTTTTTCTCACTCTTCTGTTTAAGTGTATTAAAAGCCTAAAATTCTGTATAATTAATGAGCATCTAACCCACGCGACCGCCGCCTCAGACCCACGTGACCACAGAGCTAGCTCCATGGAAAGGCCTCAGTAGAGCCTCGGTCTGGCTTGGAAACTGCTCCGGGATTTTGAGTCTTTGTGTGTGTGTATTCTTTTTGGGATATTTTTTGTGCAATTGTTGGACAAAATGACTTGACGTGGCATTAATTGCACTAATAGAGCGTCCAAGGAGTCTCCACTTCATTTTTTTTTGGTAAGTAAAATTATATGTATGTATTTTAGGTCACTGCCGAGCTGAGCTTAGATTTTAACATGTAGTGTTTAACCATGAAATTGAAATGTAATAGGGTAAAACCCAGTGCATTTAACATAATGCTGCACTTTAGAAAATGGGTTGAAATATAACATGTTGGTGGAGCTGGGCTCCGAATATCGGCTTGTGGAGCTCTCGGGAGACCGATGTTTTCCACCCGTTCTCCCCTCCCCGCAGCTCAGCGCATTTCTGTCTGATCGCGGCTCCTGACTGCTGCGCGGGCTGACGGCTTGTGGAGCTCTGGGATGGAAACCTTTCCACCCGGTTCCCCCCGCCGGCAGCTCTGCGCATCTCAGATCGCAGCGGCGCTTGTCTGCTGTGCGGCTGCCGGCTTGTGGAGCTCTCGGGAGACCTCTGTGTTCCACCTGGTTTTACCCAACGGTCAGCCCGGCGTATCTCTGACTCAGAAGCTCTGGTGTTGTGCACAGTTAACTCCAGTTGTAGCTAGGTTGCTACCTCCATTAGCTTAGCTCCCACCTCCGCATTAGCTTTGGGTTTGCTTCAGGTTAGCTTGTAGCTAGTTCGACTGGGTGTCATCAGTTTATCCCAGCCTTACAGTCCCACCCTCAGCTCCACCTCCCTTCCCTTTTATGGAATTGTCTGGGTTTGACGGAACCTGTGACACGGTCAAAATGGCGGTGGTGGCCACCTCCCATTTTAGTACAAAAACTTATTATTGGAGCCTATGGAAACCCATTGTCATATATGTATGTCGATGGTTCCGACACTGGGACACAGGCTTTGGGATTTAGTTTTACCAAGCAAAGTATGTCCCGATGAGCCATTTTGTGTTAAAAAAACAGATTAAGTCTTTTGTGCTGCAGTAATAGATGCTTAGATATAAGAAGTTGAATTCAATCTATATTTAATTTAGTGCATTTTGGCCTTCACTCAAACAGAAAGTTTCATTTCTGACTATAAATTCAGGCTGATGAAAATAACTCATATTAAATATAAAGTGACATCTCAATAGTGCCATTGGTAATATTTGATCATGTATTGCACCCAAGGGCATCAGTTTGTTTTCAGAATTGCTGGGGACAATAAAGTAGGCTAGCACAGGGGTCGGCAATCCGCGGCACTGGAGCCGCATGCGGCTCTTGCTTGTAAAATAATGAATGGATATTTAAATAAAATGCTTTATATTTTACTGCATTAATTTTACATCTGTAAGCCAATTCTAAATGTAAAGATTGTCTGCGTAAACCTGAACAGTTCCAACCCGGTCTTACTGTGAGACCGGGTTGACGCCTCTCGCTTGTGCGTAATCATATTGGCGCTTCTGAGCTGCTTTCTGACCTCCCCCACCTACAAAGTTTAATTACAACAATCAAACGTGACAGAGCCTGGATTTGTATTCTGAACAGTCTAAACATGTTTTTAAAAGAAACGTATGACAAAAGTGGCACCTGCTCAGTAAAACCACTAACAGGGTGAAAAATACCAAAAATTGTAGGCAGAGACGGGCTACAACTTCTGGATCCACTTTATATAAATCATTTTATTGATTATCGTCTAATGAAAGATAATTAAGACGTACATGAGCGATCAGGCGCGTTGCAAGCTTTGCAAAAGTGTGGGGGATGTTGTCTGTGCCTAAAATAAGTTCATGTTATTCATCTTGTTAGTTTAATTTCCATAATAGCGGAGCAGGTGTGAATTTTAGACGCGTCACACATGTCTCCGTTTTAAACATGTTTAAACTGTTCAGAATACAAATCCAGGCTCTGTCTAGTTAGATTGGTGTAACTTAAGTTTGTACTGAATGAAACATTACATGAAACCATGTTGAAAAGAAAAGGATCCGATTAAATCGTTTCCCCCTCATTTACAGTCACGATGTACAGCGCAGTGCGCGTGGCTCAGGGGTTAATCAAGTTTAATTGTAACATTAATGTGTTACTGGACACGCTGGTCTGGTTGGTTAGACCAGTGTTTGAAGTGGAAACACACACACACACACACACACACACACACACACACACACACACACACACACACACACACACACACACACACACACACACACACACACACACACACACACACACACACACACACACACACACACACACACCAATTAAAATAATGCTGATAGCGTGGACTAGAAGACAGGTGATGGTTTACGTATTTAAATGATGATCAGGCTGCTGTAAAATGTAATCTCCATCCACATCCAGACACAATTATCCTCTATTCTTTCTCTAGTTGCTCTGCTCTTGTCTGGGCTGACGTAGCTGATGGAGCGCACGACGCGCCTAACTAGCGGCTGATGCACATTTTACGCATTTGGAGAGGTGGGGATGCTTTGCTTTTACTGAAAGATGGTCCACTTAACGCACGGGTGTAGACTACATATTAATGACAAATGAATGAAAATTAAATTGTGATTTTTTACTTCATATTTTATAAATAAAAATGACGGGGGAACACATTTATGACGTCTTTTTAAACGAAATTTTCCAGCGCGACCTGCCTGCTTCACTTGTCTCTGCTTATTAAGGTCCGTCCAAAATTACCGTGGCCCACCCAAAAATGAAAACCTGGCGCCGCGCCTGTTATAAACCTCTGCAAATTGCTGTTCTTCACTTGATCAAACTCAGACTTTGTACAGCTAATGTCAAGATGTAAAATTATGAATTCAGTCGAGCTCTTCTGTCCCTCCCTCTCCTGCTCTCCTGGAAACCCGACATTGGCTAGAAGCGGGAGGTGAAGAAGGAGATGAGGCAAACAGAGTGAGTGCGACGTAAAAAACCAGACTGGTGTGGAGGTGAGCAAAACAGCTGGAGAAGTGTGGGTGTTGAATCCCCCACGGGTGCGACGCCCCCGGCTGCTGTCACCTGTTGTGAGCAGCGCTCTGCTGTCTGAGGGTAGGCCCCGCCCGCAACGCTGCGGCTACTGCGGTGTTTTCTTTACTGTGGGAAACGGGTAATAATGGCTCTTTGATGGGAACAGGTTGCCGACCCCTGGTATAAGATCTGAGCTGGTAAAACAAAAATCCTCATCAGCAGGCTTTTTTGAAAGTGGGGGGGACACAGCAGCCAATCACAAATTTTGCCGGGGACATGTCCCCAGCGTCCCCGGTTAAAATAACGCCTATGATTGCACCTATGCTCTCAAAGATTTAAAATAGCATGATCTGGCTCTTTTAAGTTATCTGAAAAAAAAAATCCTAGGTTTGAAGTAGTGAAATTTATTACCCTTTGTCCGCATCGATGCGGACTTCACCGAAGTGTAAATGAATAATGCTGACTAGGGCTGCACAATATTAAGGAAAACCTGCAATATGGGATAACAGTGATTACTATCGAGATGATATTACCTGCAGTAAATATAAACTTAACTCAGGAACAAAAATAATAAAAAAAACAAAGGAATAAACAAATGACAAAAAATTCATGAAAATGAGAAAAGCAAAAGTGGAAAAGGAACAAGAAAACGAACAAGAAAAGGCAATCAGTGGATCCCGAGAAAAGCAGAGTCATCAGAGAGGGCAGAACAAAGCCAACTCGGGTGTTTGCTAACCATCGAAATTAAGTGCCGTCCGCCTCGGGGGCAGGCATCTAACCTTTGAGAACCCACCCACTGGGCCAAATGGGTGAAGAGCTCTATTTGATTTGTTAAAAAATCATAATGCTTTTGTTTGATTGACAGAATGCATTATGGGTAGCAAACATTTGAGCTGACCATTCAATGCGATATTTATCTGTTCTTTGCGATATGAATTTTGCGCATGCTGATATCGCGATAACGATATATTTGCGATATATTGTGCAGCCCTAATGCTGACCCCTACCCCTTATTCTTTCAAAGTCCACCTACTTAAATGCAATAATGTTTTTCCACAGCCTTGCAGTGTTGTTAGTTATCATGAGCCCACAGAATTTATATAAATAACTCATTGCTGCACTTGAGTATCAGCTGTTAAAAGCATTAGGTTGTGTCCAACATCTGAATCCACAGCAGCATTTAAACATTTAGATGACCCATTATTAGGAACCAGGGAGCAGAAAAAATTATCTTGACAAACTGACTTTAAAGCATTTGTCTTAAATATTTTCAGTTAAAACGTGTTAAAAATAAGCTATTTTCTTTTACTCATCAGCCCAAAAACATGACGTTTTCAGGAAGCACATGGATAAGAAATGTGTTAATATTACAAATATATTTAAAAGTAGCCTCATAATCGCTCGTATTTCCACCGTTTACTTCCACAATAAGCAGCTGTGTTGAGCGATGTGCGTTCCTGTGACAGAGTGGCGTTACAATTTTTTATAGCTTTTGTAAGACAGGCAGAAATTTGCAAATTCGAGCATAATTTTCGTCTTGTTTCATCAACGAAACTCTCGCATGTCTCGTCATGTTTTAGTTACCAAAAAGCTAATTTTAGCTTGACAGCATCTTGTTTTTGTTCTGAGAAAAAAGGGTGTCAACGAAATAATTTAGTCATAGTCATGGCTGATGAAAACAACACTGACTACTACCTGCAACGCTGTTGATTTTTCTTTCAATTTCACAAAATAAGAGACAAAAATATTTCCTTGAGATTTCATGACATGATTTGGATGCTTTTCTGTCTGCTATCTCTTTCAGGAGCTCAACAGACAGGCAGCAGTAGTTCTACTTTGGCTTGCAAAGTGACGCTTTGTTTGTCCTGACTGAATATTGTTTATGAGAGACCTGTGGTAGAGATTAGGTAGATTGAATAGGCAAATGGGAAATATATGACACTATTTTCATATTTCCCGGATACTTTGGAGAGGCTCTGGAGTGAAAGTGGGGAAATTTGATTAGCTATGCACACATCAAATAGAATCAAATTAAACACAATGGACACTACTGAACATCCACTGCACAGAAATGCCAGGGTTCTTCAGCTCTGCTGGTGAAAGAAATGGACCAAAAGGCCATTCCTGCTTAAAACAATAACTTCCTGAGCACATTTTCTATGTCTGTGTGTCTTTAGAATGAAATGCATGATCTCACTGCCTCCTTATCTGCAAGGCTGCATTTTCTTTGGTTAACAATAACATGAAACACTTTTATTTCCCTTTAGGAGTAAGACATGATATTTTAATCAAATTTAAGCAATGATCTGTAACAATAGCCTTTTTTTAGTGCAACAATTTAGCTAAAAGCTTCGGGTATGACAAACAGCAGAAAAATTGTAAAAGCTGCCTTATCTTTGTGAACTGCAAGAATAACACAAGTAGCATAAAAAAGTTAAATAACACCCATGCACAAACACAAATATTAAACCAGAGCAACCAGCAAGAGATCCATTGTGTGGTCCTAACTCCCAGTGGGTGTGAACTCCAGCCATGTGCTCTTTTCAACACAAGAGGGATAATCTCAGAAGCTGACCAAGCAGCAAACAAACTCTGTCACTCCAGCTCTGGAGTCAGTAATTGCCGGTGCCGTTACCAGAAAACAACACAGGCTAATGGTGAGCATGACACTTCACCAGAGGTTCAACAGGAAGATGGAGATAAAAGTGCTTATCTGTGGGAAAAGTCAGCATGTACACCTCTGATGTGAAAAAAGACCCGGAAAACAATAAAGTTTGGAGAAAAAAAAGGCATAAGTAACTTATAGTAAAGTGTTGTGAAGTAAAAACAACTAAAAAGACACGAAAAAAAGAAAGAAAGATGTATCATACAAGGAAGTGGGCAACTGTATGGTGAGAGGAAAGAAGTTAGGATAAAAGAGCTTGAGGGGTGTCTGTATGATGTGTAAGCATGTATCTGTATGACTGGGTGTAACCGCTGGTAACCAGGCAGGGATGGACCTGGTCTCATGGGGATGTGGAGAGGGAGTGACTTAATCAGCTTTGAGTCTAACTAGAGAATAACGCGCGCGCGCGCACACACACACACACACACACACACACACACACACACACACACACACACACTCATAAGGAGATATGTATGACTGATGGAAACTAAAGCGCAGAGAAGTCGTCCCTGCTAGGAAACCACAGAGCAAACCTTGCAGCACAACCAGCTCAGACACATTTGCACCAGCTGCGGTTCTCTCACTGTTGCTGCTGATCCAGTTAACGAACATGGCTTCTGATAGATTTTAGCAACACAGCTCAGAGATGTTTAGCTTTTTAAAAGTCTGGATTATTTTACTGATTCATAAACTGCAGACTCAAGTGCTTGAAAGGTAAGCTATTAACCTTGCCTTTAACATCATCTCTTAAAATACCTAGCCGTGTATTAGAACGTTTGTTGGTTTAGATATTGGATTTGGACACATGACCATTTTAGACTGAATTGAGGATGTAATTTTGACAAAAAATTCTAAAGTATCCTCTAAAAAACTGGAAAAACAGGCATTTCTTAGTGTGGTAGACAGTTGTGTTTGTTCTACGATTGGATCATTGGGGAAAAGAATCTGATGGGAAGGCTGTAAAGGTACACATTTCCATAGCATTCAGCTCCCCTGGGCATCTGCTTCTTTGGTGTTGCATGAAACTCAAATGACAATGTTTAGGTGACATGTGGCTGGGAGTCTTCTGAGAAAGGACCAAAATCTCAATGATTCCACAAAGAAAAGGATTAGTTCATGTCCTTTTTCAGGCACAGGGCTGATCAGATGAAAGTGTTGCATAATTTAGTCACTGACTGAGGTAACTAATAGAGTAAAACTTTAGTGGATTAAATCATCATCCCAATTATACAGCAATTTAATCTAAAAAAAAACAACCGCAGAAGTTAAAAGGTGCTAGAAGTAAGAATTCCCTATACTTTTTGAGGTGTTTTGAAAAAGTAGTATATCAATAATTTAAATTTTGCTCAGTTGGAGACAAATCTGTATTATCAATACAGCTTATGAGACTAACAAACAAAACACTGGAAGTTTGCATCAAGGTTTGCAACATGGTTTGTAAGCGGGTTTAAAAATGTTATAAACTTATGCTTCTACCATCTCCTTTCAAATAAATTCAAATAATTCAAAGGTGTAATATTGTCAGAAAGAACAAGATCGTAGCCACAAGCAGCCTATATAAGTTTCCTCTGGAAGGTGGCCGGGATCAGCCATAGAGACAGGGTGAGGAGTTTGGACATTTGGGAGGGACACGGAGTACAGCCGCTGCTCCTCCTCATCGAGAGGAGCCAGCAAAGATCAGTGTTTTCCTTTAAATAGACGTAGCCGTGGCGTCCCGCCACGGCTGAAATCCCAGCGCCACGCCTACAAGATCCCGTTTTATAGATTTAAAAAAACGTATTATTTTTTGCGCTGTTTCCCGAAGAAGCAGCGGGAACTACTCTGTTGTTGCTTATGATCACAGCCGGCAGACAGCAAGGGGGGAAAGGCAGGGCAGGGTGGTTACAGCTAGGGATGAGCCGGATACTTGTTTCAGACAAGTATCCGGTACTACGGATAAAGTATTTTTGACGAATATGATCATGAAACGAGTAAAAGTCGTAAATTTCTGTAATCGTGCTGAAGAAAAATCCTCATTGGGTAACTGACTGCCTTCACGCTCTGTGATTGGCCAGTCACATAGAACGCCCGCCACTCCCTACACAGAAAACTCTGCAGCAGTACCTTGGGAAGACCGTATCGAAGAGGCCAACGAGCGAAAGAGGAGGCTCAGCTCAGCCCACACGCACACACACATAGACAGTAACGGATCTCTCTGTGCTTGCCTCACTGTCTCTCACGTTCCTTCAGTACTCCCTTAGTTTTCTTCAGCTCGCCTCTTTTTTGGTTTAATATTTAAAGTTACTTTTTTTGTAACGTACGTGGTGCATTTGACAAGACAGAGCTGAAAACAGCTCGTACTGAGTCGGTCACTGCCTCCGCTCCGGTTTTTTACCACTCTCACTCTCTCACTCACACGCACGCACGCACGCACACACACACACACACACACACACACACACACACACCTTAACGTTGTTCCGTTTAACTGTGTGTGGGACACATGCCAAAAACGTTTAATCAAATTAAAATTAAAATTAAAAGTTGTGTCTGGTTCTAGTATTTCATATTTCCTAGTTCCTACTGCATGAGATCAGATGTATTAATTCATGCACTGATGTAAACCACACCCACTAATTTCCATATAATAAATAAGAGGTGCATTCATCTGTGTATCTCCTTTGATCTGCATTAGTGATATTTTCAGCACCAGAACAATGAAGCAAAGAAACAGATTCCTGAGTTTGTTAGTAATTTTATTTATTAGGTGCATCTGATCTGTTCTATTTTTCTCTGAAATGAGATCAAATCAGTGCTTCTATGGGTTGTCTCCTCTCTGCACTAGAAACATTTACTTTATTATAATGTTCACTGTAATGCATCTTGATGTTCTTAACAAATAAATTAAATCAAAGATATTGGTCAATAATGCCAAATATGTAAATTTGTGTTTCAGTCATTTTTATACTGGCTTAAAAATACTTCATTAAGTCTACTAAGCAGGGGTGTAGAATGTTTTTAATATGATCTTGGGCCAAAATAAAGGGGGCAGAAAGTCAAATAAAGTGGGCCAAAGGAGATGTTTTTCCAGACGCCAATAAAAATTAAATGTCAAATCCCCCTGCAAAGTGTGTCACTGAGAGTTTAAAACAGAAATTATTCTTGTGCAAATATTGGTGTACTCACCTTTAATACTAGTTATTAAAATGCAGCAGTTGCTGGATCAGTGCAGTTCAAAGTGGAGTGCATCAAATAAAACAATATTAACATAAAGGTGAGACGTGTCATAATTTCAAACTTGTTTTTATTATTGTTCAACAGTAACTTTTAACAAACCAACTCATCTGAACATTAAGATTGCTTAGAATGTCCACAATTTAGTCAGCTTGCACAAATAACTGAATAACAGAAGTTTATGAGTAACTAAGTCCTCTTAAGTTGCTGTTTTCTTTCAAGAATTTGGTAGTCAGGGATTAAACCAATAAGAGTTTTGCTCTAAAGGAAGATGGCTCTGTGGTTGTAACCAACAAAAACCTCTATTTGTTTCCATTTCCTTCTTGTACCCAGTGCTGACACGTTTCATTGCCGTCATCTATTTCGGCTTAGCTGTGGGTTTTCTAGTGCATGATGATAAAGTAGAGCAGGTCTGCTAAAGTAACGTTCTTCATTGTGTATTTTTAGGAGTTTTTAAAATGCAATTCAATTCAAACATACTTTATTAATCCCAAAGGGAAACTGATTGTACTTCCCCCCAAAACAATCCAGTCCACAGCAACAACACAGCTTTAACATAACGAGCAACCAGAATCAATTATCGAGTCACATGTCAGAGAAGTTATTCATAGATTTCACTTGTAGTGCAGGCAAGTAAAAACCGATATAACCTACTTGTTTAACCCCATTTGGTATTCCTTGTGGGTTTGTGAAACTTCTGCAAAAAAAACTAAACTGGGTATCTTTATTGCAGGACCTTAAGCCGTGGCGGTGCCATCGTACTACAAAGAAGTGGGATTATTATGTGCCAGCTTGAAAGTACAAAATGTATTTTCCTGTTCTGCCTGGGCATTAGTATTATTATGTGTTCGGTCATTTATTTGAGGACTAAAATGCCAGCAGAGGAAAAGACTCTACACCCTACAAGCTGCAGACAGTTTGCCTCTGAATGTCGCCCTTTTCTGCCTGAGAGAGTAGAGTGGTGCCAGAGCAATCACCAGGTATGTATTCAGTTCACATATTTCTGCTCTGTGATTGACATTTGTACGTAGGCGGATGTCTAACGCTATTGGCTAATGCAGAGGCCCCTTTATCAATGTTAATTAGTACATTATTAAGCGTTAACAAATAAAGAATCCCTTTATTAACATTCCCTAAATTGTTAACTATTAAGTGTTCTTAAGGTTAGGACAAAGGGCCGGGGTGTGTGTGGGGGAGGGGGGGGGGAGTTCTGCATACTAATACATTACTTAAAATCAACATTAATATTTAGCAGTTATTATGCTTTATTTAATAGTTTATTAATGCTTAATCACTAAACCGCCAAACAGTTCCTGAGCGTAGCCACAGCTGCAGCTCACCACTCCCCGTGGGGATGAATCAAATGCAGAGATGAATTTCACCAGTGTGTGATGAGTAATGAGACTTTAACTAAGTAATGTTAATAAAGAGACCCTTATTGTTACGCGTTACCATAAATTGCTGAATTGCCTACATTACATAGTGCAGGGCAAGACCATCACTTTTATGAATTTCTAAAAAACTCGTACCTAATTCCTGAAAGGGGGGACGCTCCAGATTGCTGCTTTAATTAAAGGAATTGTTTGTAGCTTAATGAAAACTTCTTAGTCCAACAATCAGTGCCATGTTTAATCAATTTGCTTGAAATCATAAAATGTTCAATACCAGCACACAACATGTGTGTAACTGGGTTTCAGATAAGTGAGGTTTAAAATGAAAGGACAAAAATATATAAAAATTGGGATCTGTTAACAATGTTATAAAAATCAAAACATTTAACAAAAGGTTTTTCTCTCTTCAGGTTGGAAGATACATCCTCAACAGTCATCTCCAGTGTTCAGAAATGATAAGAGACTTGCACTTCATCACAAGACCTCTAAGTCAAGATGAAGAGACTTACCCTTTAGCTTTCATAGTGACTGTTCACAAGGACCTAGAACTTTTTGTTCGCATGCTGCGAGGCATTTACATGCCACAAAATGTCTACTGCATTCACATAGATGCAAAAGCTCCACAGGAGTACAAGGTGGCCATACGGAGGCTCGTCGAGTGTTTTCATAACGTGTTCCTCTCCAGCCGCAGTGAGACGGTGACCTATGCTGGGTTTTCTCGCCTGCAAGCTGATCTGAACTGCATGAAGGACCTCGTAAAGTCTAAAATAAACTGGAGGAAAGTGGTGAATCTGTGTGGGCAGGATTTCCCCGTTATGAGCAACCTGGAGTTGGTGCAATACATGCAGAGCAAAGAGTGGAGGGACAAAAACATGACGCCTGGGGTGAAACAGCCAGAGTCCATGAGGTACAGGACACAAAGCCACTACCACGAGAACGTGGTTTTAAACATCGCTCAGAGAATGCTAGGGCAGAAGAAAGCTCCTCCCCCTCACAATCTACAAATTTATTTTGGAACGGCTTACTATGCCCTCACTAGGGCTTTTGTGGACTTTGTTCTGGACAGCCCAAAGGCCCAAGACCTTTTGGAGTGGTCCAAAGACACTTTCAGTCCAGACGAACATTACTGGGTGACACTCAACCACATAAAAGGTAAAGTCTTTTTAAAAATCAACACAAAACCACACGTAGAAATACAAACCTGCAAAACAATAAGGAAATACTCAAGTTAGAGGAAAAGAAACAAGCAGCAAAGTTAAACAAATCAAACAGAATAGAAGATTTAGTGTGAGCTTTAAAGTGCACCATTTATATTAGCGTTTTTGAGTAAAAAGTCTATTGAATGCCACAAAAAATGTATCAGCGTGTTTTTTTTTTTCATAAATATATAGGAGGCAATTAACAGAGGGTACATTACTGCTGCCCATATAAAAGGATTGTTCCAAACTAAAGTGGCTAAACCACAAGTGCACGAATTAAAGTGTTGCAAGGCAGAGTGATTTTGATTGCGGTCATGTGAATGCACTTTCCTTGTAAGATAATTTTGCACTCTCCTTGTATTTATTAGCATTTATCTGGAAAAACAAAACCCCTGATCTGGCTGTCTAAACTAAATAAGATGACTAAGTTCAACTAATAATTGATAGTTTAAAAAAATAACTAAGCAAGATAGCTCAAATTGACCTAAAATTTGCTAATCTACACAGCATGTATTGTGGAGCAAAACAGTGAAAAGGAGCCAAGTACCACAGATCGCCTGGCTGATAAACTGGGACCTTTATGCATTTAGATAATTAGATCTAGAAAAAGCACAGTTCAGATAATGTCTTACAGTGTTTCCCCTAGGAATTTTTCCAGCTGGTGGTGGTCCGGGGGGTTGAAATTATAACATGTCTCACCTTTATGTTAATATTGTTTTATTTGATGCACTCCACTCTGAACTGCACTAATCCAGCAACTGCTGCATTTTAATAACTAGTATTAAAGGTGAATACACCAATATTTGCACAAGAATAATTTCTGTTTTAAACTCTCAGTGACACACTTTGCAGGGGGATTTGGCATTTAATTTTTCTTGGCGTCTGGAAAAACATCTCCTTCTGCCCCCCTTTATTTGACTTTCTGCCCCCTTTATTTTGGCCCAAGATCATTACTGGGCTGGCCCTATTAAAAACGTTCTACACCCCTGCTTAGTGGACTTAATGAAGTATTTTTAAGCCAGTATAAAAATGACTGAAACACAAATTTACATATTTGGCATTATTGATCAATATCTTTTATTTAATTTATTTGTTAAGAACATCAAGATGCATTACAGTGAACATTATAATGAAGTAAATGTTTCTAGTGCAGAGTGGAGACAACCCATAGAAGCACTGATTGGATCTCATTTCAGAGAAAAATAGAACAGATCAGATGCACCTAATAAATAAAATTACTAACAAACTCGGGAATCTGTTTCTTTGCTTCATTGTTCTGGTGCTGAAAATATCACTAATGCCGATCAAAGGACATACACAGATGAATGCACCTCTTATTTATTATTATTGGGAAATTAGTGGGTGTGGTTTACATCAATTCATTATTTTAAATCTGAAATTGATATGGAATGATCAGAAGTTGCTATGTGTATTGTTTATTTGAAAACTATTTACAGAACAGCCTCAGAATTGAGATTAAATATTTTTGGTCACAATAGTAAAGAAACTATTACAGAACAAGGTTTTCAATAAAATCAGAACATTAATATTTAAGTGCATGAATTAATGCATCTGATCTCATGCAGTAGGAACTAGGAAATATGAAATACTAGAACCAGACACAACTTTTTATTTTAATTTGATTAAACAGATTTTTTCCTAAGGTTGTTAGCATTTTTCCCACACACAGTTAAACAAAACAATGTTGATTAAGGTGTGTGTGTGTGTGTGTGTGTGTGTGTGTGTGTGTGTGTGTGTGTGTGTGTGTGTGTGTGTGTGTGTGTGTGTGTGTGAGTGAGTAAGTGAGTGAGTGAGTGAGTGAGAGAGAGAGAAAGTTAAAAAAAAATTTTTTTTTAAACAGACCACAGCGGAGGCAGTGACCGACGCATGCACGAGCTGTTTTCAGCTCTGTCTTGTCAAATGCACCATGTAAATTACGACAAAAGTCAATTTAAATATTAAACCAAGAAAGTGCGTGCATGGATGCATGGGCCGGACTGAACTCCCGGCTGCAGTTTGTTGTGTGTAGGGAGGGGCGGGCGCTCTACGTGACTGGCCAATCACAGAGTGTGAAGACAGTCAGTTACCCAATGAGGATTTTCCTTCAGCACGATTACAGATATTTACGAGTTTTATTCGTTTCATGATCGTATTCGTCAAAAATGCTTTATCCGCACGCTCATCCCTAGCTGTAACCACCCTGCCCTGCCTCCTCCTCCTTGCTGCCTGCCGGCTGTGATCACAAGCAACAACAGAGTAGTTCCCGCTGCTTCTTCGGGAAACAGCGCAAAAAAAAAATAAAATAAAATTTTGGATCTTGTAAGCGTGGCGCTGGGATTTCAGCCGTGGCGGGCCACCACGGCTACGCCTATGTAAGGGAAACACTGGTCTTAGAAATGGCTTTAATTAGCCATTTACCATCAGAGGGAAACAGGGATGGACCGATGGTTTGATTAATGGAAAACAGACCCAACACAATCATGACGTAAAGGTCTGACCTTGAAAACAACTCAAGTCTAAACAGAAAAAGCAAACTTCAGGATTTTTGTAATACCTCGTATTAATCACAATTTTGTCTGATTACACGAAGAAGCCCCAGGGAGCCATGCTGACGGAGGTTGGGAAGGAGCTATCCGCGCAATCAAGTGGGGGGACCAAGAAGGAACAAAACACGATGGTTGCAGAGGTAGAAAATGTGTTTTAACAGTGTTCAGACACTCAATCACAATGTTATATTTAATCATATGAACAAGATTTAGATGTGTATGACTGAAACATTCTGCTCAATACTTTTTGGCTTGAGCTGCTCTCTTTAGCCCAAAGAGTCTTCAATGGCACCACTGAGCTGCATGAATGTTACTTTGACTTTTTTAAGAAAGCTTAATTAAACTGATATGAAAACTATAAGGCAATAAACATGCCACAGCTGCAGGGTTTTAAATCTAGGTATGTAAATATTTCTATAAAGCATCACAAATATTTGAAGTCACAGCTCCAACTAGGACACCCGAGTAGTTACTTCGTGAATCAAGAAACCAAAGTGAGTACATCTACATCTCATAGCAGATGGCACGTTTGCAGGTTTATTTTCATCAAAGCAAAAACAGAAATGTTCAAAGCATCGTCACAGTGTGCTGCAACTTTAACTCTAACTTGTACTGCATAATTCTTCTGTTATGACTCGTCTTTGGTGCGCTGCACCAAGGCAGGATGTTGGGTGATTTGTGAAAACATGTTTGGAATGGTTGCATGTGGTCTGGTACGATGTCAGGATTTTTAAACCAATAACAGACAAACTGAAATAGCTTTACTAACAGGTTTTGTTGATACATGCTTGTACAGTTGGTGTCTTATTGAATGTGTACGCAAACCGACTGAAAAACAAAAAAGTGTAAAACATAAAGAACAAACTCCAGATTAAAGGCCAAGTTCAGGGAAAATAAATGTTTTACTTATTGTAATATGATCGGTTACTTTGACTTAAACATGCAGGCTAAACGCAAAAATAGTCTTATACCCCTATTTCCTGAATTAGCTGCTCATCAAAAAAAAAGACAGGGAAGCACTTGGATTAAAAATGCCAGTTGATTCTACATCACACTGAAAATTTGCATTCATGGACTCACCCATCTTGGCTCATGACAGGGAGGCTGTTGTTGACTTAGCTTCCAGGAGACAGCAGAGTGTGTCTTGGATAGTAGAAGCTAACCATTAGCATTAGCAAGTTCACAACACTGCAGAACTCCTTCAGGCTTGTGTTATTTGTGTAGTTGCAAAACAAACAGAGTCAGTGGTGGAGTTGCATTGCCGATAGCCAATCAAGGGAGAGATGTCTGAACACCAGGAAATAAAACTCCAAAACCTGACGTGCTCTGCTCCCTTCTGTTCCGACTCACTTCTAGTTCTTGAAACAGAAGCACCAGAGCTTTTTTCTCCAGAGATCGACTCACAAGGCATTCATTCATACTAGAGACCACTGCAAATGTATTGATAAAATGACTGAACCTGGTCTTTAATATTAAAGTCCATGTCCTCACTTGTTTTTGTCATTTTCCAGGCCATTATGTACGAAACATCTGTATCTTCGGACTGAAAGACCTCCCATGGATCATCAACAGAAACGACATGTTTGCCAACAAGTTTGAGAGTAATAGCTATCCGGAAGCACTGGACTGTCTGGAACAGTGGCACAGGAACAAAGTGCTGAAACAGGCAACTGTTCCTATAGAGGCATCGTGGCTGCTGGCCAAACAAGTAACCTCAAGAAACATCCTCTCCTATAACAGCACTGCTGGAGCATGAAATCACTGCTCGTGTCCTAAACTATCTGTGGAAGGCTGTTTGCTCTTGCTTACTGGTTATATTTTTACAAAACATGATTAAGAGAAAATAGAGCTGAGAACAGCTGGATGACTGCACTTTCCCTTTTAAACAATCAAATTTTCTTTATATAGCGCCTTCTACTGCGGGAGCCCAAGGTGCCGGACACAACACCACAAAAATAAAAACAGACAAATAACAGGTCTAAGTTAAAAATGGTTAAAACAATAAAATTACACAAAAGCCAAATGATAAATCAAGACATGTTTATCTATTTATGAAACTGAAGTACTGTTATTTATATTGTTTATGTTATGTAGATAATTAAACATCTAAAGAGTTGAGCATTTACTTTTTTATTGTCCTGTTAGTGCAATGCCCATGGCTGTTTTACAATACAAATAGTTAGAAAAGCAAATATACGCTGCAAAAACAAAATGGACCAAAACAAGAAACAGATTCCAGCTAAAGCATGCTCAGTACATTTTCCTCCTGTACAAGTGGCGTTCCCATAAGGATCTATTTAAAACCACTTGTAATTTGTTATTGTTAAAAAATACCACAGTTATTTTTACCTCGTCTATTTCTTTTAATACTTAATGGTTAGAAATCCAAAATGGAAGCGGGTAGAGATGCTGAATCCTATGTGATAACTCAATAAAAACTCAAATTATTTCCCACAAGAGAATTCCAGTGAAATGTTTTGTTGTTGTTTTTTCTGAGAAGCTATAAAGAAAGAATGCAGCAATGATCCCACAATCCCACTCAATCAAAGACAAGATGGAAGACTGTTGCCCAAATGCTAAGGATAGTTTGTACATGGGAAACCGATCACCCTAAAAACCACAAAAACGAAGAGGTCAGAACCTAAAATAGGTTTTCCTTCCAAGACATTCTCATGCGTATGCAACTGATCTGAAAATGATTAAAGAGAAGAACTACTATTTGAATTACTCATACAAGTGGTTATTCAGGTAGGTTAAGTAATCATCGTGGAAGTACATGAAAACCTGTGCCCCCTGTTAGCCATTTGTTTTCTTATAAACAGCACTTGGGACATGCCATAATAACAAAAAGATAAAAACTGTATGTTAAAACTACTAAAACTATTAGTTTTTGGCCGACAACATGAAGAAAAACTGAGAATATGATAGCTTACTTTATGGCAGATTTCCGTCTTGACCTCCTTCAGGGCCCTCTCTGAAAACACACAGCCACAGGTCTGCAAGTAACAGAACCTGCAAAAAGAAATGATGACATTTATTTATCAGGCCAATGAAATAAACCTAAACTTCAGAAGCCAAACTGGTACATATGTATGTTTCCCCAAACCTCAAAACAATACTTCATATATGTAATTAATAATAAACAGCGATGGGAATAACGGCCTTTAAACCAAAATCAGTTTTTCAATGACGAGTAATCTAATTAACTACCGTCGTCTTTTGTCATAACGCCGTTTCTGTTACTGATAAGGAAATGTGTGTTACTATAATTCAGCAGCGCGGTGTGTTAGCTAAAGGGGCAGATGTTCGCATCCAAGCGCATCACAGCCAGTGATGAACGAGGAAGACGTGAAGAATGGTCTACGGCTGCAGACCCAGAGACCAGCAGATTCGCTGCTGCAGGCGTGAATCTGCAGCTGTACCCTTCTTGGCGTGACAGCGGGATTTCCCGAAGGTCCGCTCACCAGTTCACTGCTCACACATCAGTTAATTATTTCCTCATCACGATCTTCTATCTTCCTTGAAAATCTAACTGAAACCTGTTCCTGATCATTTCCTTAATCCTGCTGTAACGCTAATTGTATCAGTCTAAGACGTCGTAGGCCATCGGGTGTTACTAGAATTTACTTTACCACGCAGCTTCAGCTTTTCTGTGTTTAGTTAGTAAATTTAAGTTCTTCATCAGATTTGTGCCTTTTCTGGTCATTTTTGAGGATTTTTATTTGCAGATATACCATTAATAGATTATGAGCTAAAGAAATGCTAATGAAAACACACGATTATGTGAAAGTGGAAAAATTCAAATACAATGCAAAATTACATTTACTTCAATAATTCAACTTAGACCGAGAGACCATTTAAAGGCTCAGGAATCCTTTACAACAGGGCTATTCAATTCCGGGCCTCGAGGGACGGTATCCGACATGTTTTAGTTTAACCCTGCTTCAACACATCTGATTTCAATCAGCAGGTGATTAACAGGCTTCTGCGGAGCCTGATGAGCTGCTGCACAAGTGACTCAACCACTCAATCAAGTGTGTTAGACCAGAGAAATCACTAAGCTGGAGACTGGCCCTCGAGGCCCGGACTTGAATAGCCCTGCTTTACAGGTTTTTCTAATTGCAATTACAAATTTGATTTGATTGGGGGTTTGTTAAATATCATACCGTGATGTTTGAATAGTTTAGATCAGCGTAATGTTCCTTGTTTGTATTTCCTCCTGTTAAGTGCCCTTTTATTTCACTTTTTCAGTTTTATAATAAACAATCGGACATTTTATTATGTTCCAGTCTATATTTAGTCATTCGTGTTTTAGTATTGCAGTAATTTATAGATAAATAAGTAAGTTTCATTAAGAGGGGATCTCATTTTACTTGCATATTTTAATGAAAAATGTAACAAAATATTTTTTGTTGTAATTATTAACTTTTATAATCACTGAGTTACTTTTTGCACAAAGTAAAAAGTAACTATAGCTAGACACTTTATAACACAATCATTCACCCATGCAGACAAACATTTACATCCAGCTGGTAGTGATGAGCTACATTGTAGCCACAGATGCTCTGGGGCGCACTGACAAGGGGCGAGGCTGGTGAACACTGATGCCACCGGTCCCTCCGACCACCATCAGCAGGCAAGGAGGGTTAAGTGTCTTGCCCAAAAACACAACGACTGCAACAGAGTGCAGAGAGACAGGGCTCAAACTTGCAACCCTCCTGTTACAGTGCAGGGGTCTCATTTATCAAACATTGCATAGAATCCTTACTAAAACCGTACTTAAGCTCAGCAAAAAAAATTGTACTTATGCCAAGTAGGCTTGTGATCTATCCAACATGGAGTACGCACAGCTGCACGCAATCTCCGCTTCATAAATCGGTGACTAACGAGAATGTTTCTCAGCTGCATTTTAGTCACATCCTGCCCTCACCACACCCACTTACTGCCATAAATAGTCAATGCAAAGTGCCTTGTGGATCTCATGCATATACATAAGTAGGCTGTTGCAGCGCTCCGCCAATGACATGGCAACCGTAGATCAAGGCAGAGCAAGGAAGCGCAATTTCACAGAAGCAGAAATTCAGGTGCCGGTGGGTGAGGTGGAGAAATGAAAGGAAGTGCTTTTGCAAAACAAATAAGAGAAAATCCACTGAGTGGCACAGCGTTGCTGAGGCTGTCAATGTTGTGATTTCTCCAGAGAGATCTGTGGCAGATATAAAAAAAAATGGTCCAATCAGGATTCGATCCCCAGACTCCCGGGTGAAAGTCGTGTGCTAACCAGTCACCCATACGGAGATCTCCCCTGTATAAGTAGCCAGGGAGCATGATCAATCGAGTCACAGTGACAGGACACACACCCTGTCACAGACGCATGACATTCTGTCTCAATCTGCCCCCTGCTGATATTCTGCATTCCGTATTCTGCGCTTCAGGGTGTGTGTGTGGGGGGGGGGTTCCTTATTCTGTGTGAAAACGAAGCAGTACAAGTGACAATGCTGCAGGATTTAATAATTTTATCCTTCTCAGCAGCAGCACTGCAGGTGCTCTCCATGTCCAACATGTGTGTAAGCCAGGTCCTTAGTCAGCTTAAAGTTGTGCACATTTTTCCACTAAGTTTTCTTTCATAAATGCCAAAGTTTGCGTGGAAAGTTTGTTTACGCAGTTTTCCAACCCCGTTTAGTGCATAAGCAAGCTTGATAAATGAGGCCCCAGGCACTTAACTCCACTGCTACAGTCACACAGCGTCCTTTCAGCAGGCAATGTGGACAAGTCAGAATGTATTTCTAAGAAAACCTGGTTTAGGGCCAGTTAATACAACAGCACAGTTTAATATGTGTAATACGATTTAGGACTATTTATTTAAGTTGTTTACCTGTGCTTTCCATTCATTTCCAAACCAACAACAGGACAAATGAACATGCCACAGTGGATGTCCTCATATCTGTCTCCTTTTGCGTTTCTCCTCTCTCCCTCCCATTCAGGGTTATCAGTCAAGTTGAGCTCTTTTATGTCCTGCAAACACACTGATTAATGCACTTCCTGTCATGGAGAAAAAGGAAAATTCACAGAAATATACATGTACTACAAGTACACACACATCAAATTTCATATCAAACAATATAAATACAATACCTTGATACCGTGGATGTGTGTTACAGCCTCGGCGTTGGGTCTCTCAGCAGATTTATCCAGGAGGTACTCAATAATAGCATCTTTGTTGTAAAGCCTAAAGCATGACATGAAAAGGTGGAGTAATCAATAGTTCACTAAGGCACATATAACACATTCTGACATGATGAACCATCAAACACTGCACATTAAATGTAGCTCGTCCTGGGTGACTTAGAAATAGGTTAAGAATAAGAACAGCCTCTGACAAATGTGCATAATCTCTGCCCAGAATTTAGCAAAACGGGATAAACACAATAATTAAAAAGTTTAAAAAATTAAAATACACAAAACCTCTTTACCTGCCCAGCTCACAGGCAACGATTGGGCGCCGGAGTTTCTCCTGGCTCAAGCCACAGTGCTTCCACTTGGCAGCTAGTTCAGCATTCTTATCAACCTGGACAAATCGGAAGGTATGTCTTAGCCAAATGGTGAATCAGTTGCCTCATACTTAGCCTGCACATATTGGAAGGGTTAGACGGCTGAAATTTGAAAGCTAACGTAGCTTCATCTATTTCTGACAATTAAATACTCTCTTATTTAAGTAAAGTAGAAAAACCTACACGCTTGTAAGAGTAGTAAAAATAAAAAGCTAGCAACTTTTTTAGTAAGTTACAAGCATATAATAGCTAGCTTAGCATGTTAGCTTTAGCAAATATGTGGCAGCTGTCGTCTTTAACCGCTCAGGAAAAACAGATAATACGCACCTTCTCGACTTTTTTGGGGCCTTTAACCAACTCATGCCTTTTGGGAATCGTTCCGCCATCACATCCCATCTTGAAAACAGATTTTAAGTGTAACTGAAGCGATTAGTTTCCAAGTACGTAGCTAACTGCTGCCCGGAAGAAAGTAAACAAACAAGGGAAAAGCTGAGCTCCCCAGGTGGAAGCTATTCTGAGGTCGCCATCTAGCGGCAGAACAGAAACTTGAATTTTTAAAACTAGGAGCAGTGTCCTCCTTAGACCGTTAGAGGGCAGCGTTGCTCCAAAAACTAGTTATTTTTGGCACTTATATATGTTTTATATTCTATTTTCATCAGAATAGCCACCCTTTGCTATGATTACTGCTTTGCACACTCTTGGCATTCTCTTGATGAGCTTCAAGAGGTAGTCACCTGAAATGGTTTTACAACAGTGTTGAAGAAGTTCCCAGAGGTGTTTAGCACTTGTTGGCCCCTTTGTAAATGGTCATGGTCATGAAAATAAAGAAAACACATTGAATGAGAAGGTGTGTCCAAACATTTGGCCTGTACTGTATATATATATATATATATATATATATATATATATATATATATATATATATATATATATATATATATATATATATATATATATATAATTATAAAATAATAAGAACAGCAGAATGAGGTACTTGTTTCAGAAGTGGGACTTTAGCTATAATGTGAAGGAATTAAAGCAATGACAAATTTTTTTGCTTGCTTGCAGTCACATACTCTTGAGTATCCTGCACCTCAGTAAACACACAAGGAGAAGAAGGAAAAAAAACATGAATTACTTCACTCTTTTACAGCTCATCCATCTATTAGATGTTTTCAGTCAGCCATTAAAGTCAAAACTAGTAAGTGACATTAGTCTGGCTTTCAGCCCTTTTGTCCGAGTGGTCTAAAGATGAAAGTTTCCTTGGAAGATAGTTCAATGACTGCTAATGAGATCTGTTTCCTGTGCCTCGCAGGCTACAGATTAGTTTACTATCGATGGTGCTGTCCAAGAGCGACCATTAGTTTGGGGAATACCTAAGTGGAGACATCTCTGGCGGCATGACTGATAATCTGTGTGTAAGAAAAGAGTGAGTAAAAAACAAAGCTGGACTTCATTTTGACGGAGAAAACAGGTTTCAATCTCTTTCTGCACAACTCGCTCAGGCATTCTGTGTTAGCTCCCCGAAATGCAGCAAAATTAACAAACATGAATGCAGAAACGTCTCCCCGTTTTGGCAGTTAGTTCGATTGGTTCTTCCTGTAATTTATAAATTGTGTTATGTGTCTTATTGAATTTCCCCCCTTTCTCACACAGAGCTAAATGTTTAGTATGGATTTTCATTAGAGGCAGTGGAGTGGAAGCTCTGTTAGCAAACTATCTTTGAGGAAGTACAGCACCCAGGGCTGATAATGCAAACCAACCCACCAAAGGCACACAATAACTGTTGGACAATAAAGGACAATTTATTGCTGAATGTATAAATTCAAATATCCCCAATTCCTCCTCCCTGTCAGACCCAGGTGCTACCCACTGAGCTGTGTTAGAGGTCAGTTTAATGGGTTGATTTTTCCATGGCTGACCTGAAAAAAACCCCAACTACCGTCCAACCTCATGTTTATACTTTCATGATGAGTCCAACCTGCCCAATCAAACATCCAGTGACAGGCCTTGAACTGAAACCATATACATCTTAGCCATCCCAGACGCTTAAAGCAGCTAGCAGGAGACTCAGGCAGCATTCATTGCATGGAAAAGCCCTGGTATCGCACCGAGTCTAATGCATTTAGCGTTTCTAATTGGGGAGGAATTGCTCTGTTTACATTGGTGGTAGTTAATAGAGCTAGGCCTTTCAGCCCTTTTAGCCCTGCAGCCGAGCAAGCTAAAGCTCTGTGGATGAACAAAATGAAATGCCTTCATCTCTGAAATCTCTCTGCAGGGTAAATTTCAGAGAGGAGAGAACGACTCACTCAGACTTAGGGAAAGAATCAGTTGACAAACTTTTTATTTCGTTTAAATTAGATTTAAGTTGAAGAAATGATCTCATACTTCACTGTAAGTCATGTGCTCCGTTTTTTTCTCAATTCAATTAATCAAGATACAAAAAATCAAGATACTTTATTAATCCCAGAGGGAAATTAGAGTTTCAGTACAAACAATTCAGAGATCAGACATATATACATAGACATAGACACATGACAAGAATAGGTGACTGTGGTCATTCGCAACCCTGAGTCGCGCTACCTTAATAGTAATCAGTGGGCTTATATGAGGACTGGGTCAGGTGGAGGGGAAAAAAAGGCACTTCAGAGTCACCCTCCACAGGGAGGGCAGCTTTGCTATGCAACAAACACCTCAGACAGAAATGCAACAGACTTCAGACATTACACAGCATAAGTGTCCACTAGGTGGGGAGGTAGGGTTGGGGACTCTCCACACATCAGTGCATGCAGCCGCGATAAGCAGCGCTCTTCACCTCCATTTGGACAGGGGAGGGAGGTAATTGGGTTACAGAGCACAGTGACTCCTGGAAACGATTCAACGGCCTCCTTCACTGGTCACAGTCCCGCCCAGGCTGGGATAGGGAGACAGAGTTGCCAAGGCGACGGCAGCATTCCACATTTCTTCTGAGGGGGAGTAATCACTTCAGCCTCACAGGCTCAAGGGCACCAGATTCAGATAAGAAATTGTTTTGGGGCCAGACAGAGATAATTTTCTCTCTGTCTTAAAGTTCTGTTGATCTCCAACCCCTCTGAATCCAATAATGGCGTGAATTTATCTATTCCCAACCGTGCTGTCCAGTCCACTTTCTCCTTGATCAAATCCACCTTCTGTGCCAGAGCCTGAATCTCAGCCAGAGTTCCAAGCTTACGACTCATCTCGACAATTATAAGAGTTTGGGCATTCACAGCGCGGTGTAATCCAACCCTGAGCTCCATGATTGAGCCAATTGTCCTCGAAAGCTCATTAATTTTCCGGTAAGTCAGGTAACCGCTCAGGCCAAACAGCAGGAAACCTGACACCAACACCACGAATATCCACACGTCTTCAGAATCCTCTACAGACAGTTGAGAGAGGCAGATCAGGTTCCACTGTTTCCAGGAGTCCATGATATGCCCAGCTGGCTCTGTCCCAGAGGGGCATCCGGGAGCCCCTTCTCCCGTTCTCATCTTTGAAAAAATTTAGTCAATTGCGTTGAGAGACCAACTGGCCAGGTCCATTTTTAATAATTTCCAGTTTCCAGAAAAAATGCAGAAGAGGCGTACACCCAAAGACAGACAAAGAGCCTTGAGATAAGATAGGGAGGAGGGGAGGAAAAAAGAGTCTGTACTCTCCAAGAGCCTGAAGAAGTTTCTGCTATGTTTTCTCAACTCTGACTTTATATCTCACGCCGCACAAAAGTATAAGAATAAGAAATGTAAGAACTCTAGGCTGTCAGAGAGTAACACATACGCACACACACACACACACACACACACACACACACACACACACACACACACACACACACACACACACACACACACACACATACACACACACCACAATTATTCTCTCATTCCTTTTCTGTTTATGTTGAAACTCACATCGTTGAAATTATGTCAGTTGAAAACGGTGCCCACAACTAATTTTTTTCTCTTCTCTTGGTTTGTGTCAAATTACTCATAATAACTCACTGAAGTTTTCACCTTATGTTACCCCCTTTTTTTAATTCATCATTTGGAAATTTGCCCCATGTGGCCTGGCGTCGCTGGAGAAACAAAGCTAAATCTTTGGTTTGTTATCCTCAAACAATCAGAGTGAAAATGACAATTAGTTTTTCCAATTCTAGGATTTAAAGGTGTGGAACACCCATTTAATCAATGCATTTGCAGTGGTCTCCTTGTAATCTGTACTCAAATATACCAGTGCATCATTTCCAGGAACTAGCAGTGAGCCACATCACAGCTGAGCTTCAGACGAGTCTTACTTCCTGATATTTAGACATCTATCCTCAGATTGGAAAACAGCAAGATGACTCTGCCGCTGACTTGCAACGTCGAAGTTTTATCTCCACAAATAGCACAAGCTTGGAGGAGCTACTGCTGTGTGAAGTTGGTAATGTTAGCGTCTGCTAGCTAGCCGCTGCTAAATGTTCTCTGCTGTTTCCTGGACACTAAAACACCAACAGCATTCTCTGTCGCAAGTCAAGATGGGTGAGTCCATGAATGTTAAGTGACAGTAGATATGTCAGACTTTTCAAATTCTATTTTCTATCTGAAGCTAATGCATGAGATAGGTGTGGGAGACTATTTTCATGTTTAAACTGATGAAAATCTCAGTGACTGATTGTAATCAGAAATAGCAATTAAAAAATGGGTTTTCATTGTTCCACACCTTTAAAATGTCATAGATGAGTAAGCAGTTGATTTTTGCCCAGTTTCATGAGCATAAAGAAGTAATGCCGTTTGAATGTTCCCATGTCTTTTCCAGCACAAGATTGACTAACATTTTTTTCTTGTTGCACCAGCCTGCCTGCTGTGTGGCACATTTGATCCACCAGCTACCCAAAAGTGCACAGCTCAACATTTTGTTCACCACAGACTTGACGGTGCTCTAGAACCTTAGTGAGGAGCAGCCAAACCGAAGCTCGCTCACCAGCGCCCATCCACCTGGGTGGATTTTACCATCATCCAACTGGTTTTGTGATTATCTTTTCCACTGTGGTAAGATACACTCAACGCCGACAGACACAAACTCGCTACCAGCACACTTGGCTGAGGTCCTCGCGTTCACAGCCTGTAAAAACACACAATCATACGACGGGAGTCCCTCTTCAGTAGCTGAGTAGGTAAAGAAAGTCTGCACACATCAATGGCAGGTTTGTGAATGGAACAATTGCTTGTGCTGTGGGACCATGCAGTCACAATCCATTAGTTTGATGGGGCACCCGAAAGGTTCTGACAGCCCCCTGGCTGTGACTTGTGTGGCCTGGAGTGCTGAGGACATACCTGCGGCCGCCTTGTGTACTCTGTGGGTATGTGGTGAAGGAGCACACGTAGCAGCCGAGGCCTGGCAGGCAACGGTTTGGGGTCTGAATGTCCGTGCCAGCTGCTGCCTCTTCATTCACGTCTTTAGCAATAAAACAAATCACTCTCACCTCTTTAAAACATTTTTTTACTCACACTTCCAAACATTTCTG